GGAAAAAGTCCTTAAACTGCTGTGGCTACAGCAGTGCTGCTTGTCTTGTTGGTTGAACTGAAAATCTGTATTTAAGGGGCACTAAGGGAAGAAGCTGCTGTTTCATAATGAAGTGCCGATAAGCAAAAAAGCTGAAATGTTCTGCGTGTGCTTTGGAAGATTAGGGGAACTGCAAAGTACCAGAAACCTTAATTTTTACATCCCTTTAGAGGAAATAAAAATAATAATAAGTGAAAAGTTAATTGCTTTTTCAGTTTCTTTGCACATAGTGAGAAGACAGACAAAATTAAGGAGTTGCACAGTTAGATTTAAGAAATGCAACTTGCAGAGAGCAGTCATATATTTTGTTAGGTAAATGGTTGAGAAAATTGCTTTTCCATAGAAAGCTACGTCAAGTGGGAAATTAGGCTTAAAAACAAGAGAGCAGACAAAAAAAAAACCCAACAAAAACCCCCATCCCCCAAAAAGTCAGCCAAAACCAGGTCAGTCTTTGGTCTGGACAGACTATGTAAGACTTGTAGGCTAAAAAGAATGTTCTTAAGAAAGATGCCAAGAGTTAGGTAGAACTCAGAAACTATGTTCTGTAGCAATGTAATGGTACTTTCCAATCATAACAGTATCCTTTATGAGACTGTCTTGAGAAGTTTTACTCTAACCAGAGTTTTGCACCACTTGTAAAACAGCAGTGGTATATCTGGCGTAGGTCCCGTTCTCCCGAGGTGGGCCCTGCAGAACGTTCATCGGGGAGAATTTACAGAGTTGGGCTGTGATGGTAACAACCAAGGTTGTATTATGAGATCCAGAATGGCAAAGGTGAGGTGACTTTCAGTGAAGTTCTGTAGTGACTGAGTGACAAACAGGAGTGGACGCCAGGCTCCTAGAGGTGTCTTTCATCCGCTTACATTCATGACTTCCTTCACAGTTTTTCAGGAATAAAGTTACAAAGACGATAACGATAGGAAATCAAGGGAAAGGAAGGTTACGTGACTTGTGTGTGGTAATAAATCAAGGCAGAAATATTAGAAGCAGAAACAAGATCTGTTCCCCCCACTGGCTTGATTTTCTTTATGCTGTCCTGCTCTGCCTTTGGGATGATTGCCAGGAGCCACATCGGGGTTTTGCAACCAGATCTGAGCACGTGCCATGGTGAGGACCATGGGGGCTCTAGAGAGAAAGTGAGTAGTGTATTCATGGAACAGCACGAATGAAGTGTTGATAATTGTAATAATTCTACAACTAAACCAGGATGTGTATCTTTTTTTTTTAACGGCTGTGGTTTGTAGTACAACTTAGTAAGCTTTATATACAAATTGTATGATTGTATTTTGATTTCTCAATAGGTCTGGGACAAAAGTGAAAATGGGGATTGGCATTGCACTGCCAGCTGGAAGGTTTGTATTTATAAAAATTACACAGTTATAACCATAATTTCTCCTTTGTTTTTGAAGAAACATACTGTTGTGGTTTTGCCCCAGCCAGCAGCTAAGCTCCATACAGCCGCCCGGTGGGATGGGGGAGAGAATTGGAAGAGTAAAAGTGAGAAAACTCATGAGTTGAGATAAAGACAATTTCATAGGTAAAGCAAAAGCCGTGCATACAAGCAAAGCGAAGCAAGGAATTCATTCACCGCTTCCCATGGGCAGGCAGGTGTGCAGCCATCTCCAGGAAAGCAGGGCTCCATCACACGTAACCATTACTTGGGAAGACAAATGGCATCACTCCAAACACCGCCACCCCCCTCCTTCCTCTTCCCCAAGCCACTTATATGCTGAGCATGAAGTTATATGGCATGAAATATCCCTTTGGTCAGTTGGGGCCACCTGTCCCGGCTGTGTCCCCTCCCAACTCCTTGTGCACCCCCAGCCTACACTACTGGGTGTGAGAAGCAGCAAAGGCCTTGGCTCTGTGTAAGCATCGCTGAGCAGTAACGAAAACATCCCTGTGTTATCAGCACTGTTTCCAGCACCAATCCAAAACACAGCCCCATACTAGCTACTCTGAAGAAAATTAACTCTATCTCAGCTGAAACTAGCACACGTACTTAGTTTTTGCTGACTTGTAGAGTAGAAATACTTTTGGTTTGCTGTAGATCCTGTATTGCTTATGTTAAAATACTTCTCTGCTTTTATAAAACATGTCTAAGGCCTCTCACGTAAAGCACAGGCTAGTGTGCAGGCTTATATTATTAGAACTTGGTTATGTTGGCAGACTTTGTTATCAGTAAGCATAGTAGTAAGTGGTGTTTAGGGAGTTGGAAAACAGTACCTACATTGTAATTGAATATTTCCTTTTTGCATATTGTAAGACTTAAAAAGAAAAAAGAAAGAAAAAGGAAGAGGTCTGGCTATTGATTGTTACAACATCTGACCTCTTTTCTTTTTCTTTTTTTTTTCCAAAAACCTTTCTGAGAACTGTGTCATGTAGAGACTCTGCTTCATCTGGATAATTAGTACATTCAGCTTCTGAATTGTCCTTAAACTTGCATTTAATAGGACCACAGTACAATAATCCCTGTAAATGGAAATGCAAGTGAAGCTTTTGATTTCCTCTTCTCTTTAAAAAAAAAAAAAAAAAAGAAGTGTGGGGTTGACTAGGTATGAAAGAAGAGTTTCATGCGAAAAAGGGGAAGATAAGTAATACTCTGCATATGCTTTGCAAAAGTACAGACAAGCTAGAACTGAGCATGGTAATGGCTGAAAATTTAAAACAAACCTGTACTTTTTGTGTCAAGGTAGAATCTTAGCTTGGAACTTACAGTTTAAAGCAGTAATAAATAATGCCTTGAAATACACTTGTAATAATTACCTTTTAACCATTAACTAATAGCAACAAAACTTTGCAGTGCTTATAGGCATAAGCAAATGCAACCGCTGCTGTGTAACTTTGAGCTTAATAGAAGAACATGGGTTTCAAAGGAATAGCCTTATGACTTCCTAGAATTTACTTCTGCTTCTGCAGAATGTCATGAAAACGTTATTATCACTTGGACTAATACACTAAGTATGTTTCTCTATACTGTTTTGGTGTTATCTTGCAGACACATAGTGGATCTGTGTGGCGTGTGACGTGGGCCCATCCTGAATTTGGGCAGGTCCTGGCTTCCTGCTCCTTTGATAGAACAGCAGCTGTATGGGAAGAAATAGTGGGAGAGTCAAATGATAAACTCCGAGGCCAGAGTCACTGGGTGAGACTTTAACACGTTAATTACAGTTTCTATATGTTCTCATATAAATGGATTTACTATGCCTTTTTGATTTGTTTGGTTATCATAATGGACTGAAGCTTTAAACTGTTTAAATTCCAGAATTAAATGGAAGACTGAACAGGAAAATTATTATAAATACCAATTTACTAGACATTTCTGGTTTTGCAACATATTTTCTATTCCTGAAACAGAGAAAACACCCTGGTTTCTTCTGTCAATATAAAGATTTTGGCTGTGTTTTGTTACTTTGTGGCAATGTTGCAATATAGCAAGAGCATTTTTAAAGCATTTGGTTAAAACAGCTGCATGGCAACATTCAGGCCAATTAGTGTCACTACTATTGGTGTTTCTTAGTAAGATGTTCCCTGGCAAACAGCCTGTAGACATAAATTCCAGTCTACACTAGAACTAAAGTTGTGGCGTTTTTCTTCTGTGACAAAATCTCATTTGACACTGTCTCATGCTGTTCGTTTTCATCTTTCAAACAACAGATCAGGTTTTGGGGGGGAAAATAGTTTGCTCTGAAGTGATTTTCTGGGTAGTATTTCATCAAGGGAATTTTAGATCTAAACAGATTATTTTGCAGCTATTCTTCATGTGTAATCTTATATAACTCAGTATAGTATTCCTGCCTCTGATGTTGTATTTTTAGATTGCTAAAATATCTGCAGTTTTCTACTTTCTACTAAAGTTTTCTAACATTAAAATACATTATTGTGAAGAGCTGGGTTGTCAGGGCCTTTGGCACCCAGTGGGGTATGAAAGCCGACTTCCATGTACAGGCGGCAGTTGTGATGCGTAGTTTTGAGCTCAAACTCATATTTTCTTGGTAGAGAGGAGAAAACTTGAAAAACAAATGTTTACAATTTTTTCCTCTTTCACGCTAGCTAATCTTCCTATGTCTGCTGCATTCATCCATTCCCTTACCAGAAATACTGGTTAGGGTTTTGGTGCTTCTGTTGGAAAATGCTTCACAGTAAACTTCAGCAGCACTGAAATTAGAAAGCGGCGTTGCTAGACATTGTCACCAGCATTAAATATTGTCACCAGTATGAATGGACAGCTTCAAACTACCTGTGGCCAATACTCTTGTATTTTATGCTTACATTATATGGTAGTTTTGTTTGGTGTTTTTTCTTTTTTTTTTTTTCTTTCTTTTGAAGAGCATAATCTAAACAACTCTTTTGGGTATCAGAACTTTGATACCACTGTGAGTTTCTCTTGATGCTTGAGATTGCATCAGTGCAATGATATGTCATTTCTCCAATTCATTGGTGCATAAAGTTTTTGGGTTTGTTTTTCGTTTTGTTGGGGGGGTTTTGTTGGTTTTTGTTGGGTTTTTTTTAGTTTTTGATGGAAGAGGTAAGTGATCCTGTGAAATGGTGTTGTCAGACTTTTGTTAGCCTTCCTTAAGGAATAAATTTTTGATAGAAATTTCTAGCATTTCCTTCAAGAATTTCTGCCTTTCTTTGCAGGTAAAGAGGACCACTCTAGTAGACAGTAGGACATCAGTTACAGATGTGAAGTTTGCTCCCAAGCATATGGGTCTTATGTTAGCAACCTGTTCAGCAGATGGAGTTGTAAGGATTTATGAAGCTCCAGATGTGATGAATCTCAGTCAGTGGTCGCTGCAGCATGAAATCTCATGTAAGCTAAGCTGCAGTTGTATTTCTTGGAATCCTTCAAGGTATGTTATTAAAACTGTAGGTTTTGCTTTATGACTGTTTAAGCAGAAGATCCAAATAGTTCTGAAATTTTGTAGAATAAATCCTAAAACATGCATGGAAAAGATTGACTGTACATTACTCAGATCTGAAAGAAAGCTGCTAACATTTATTTCAATAAAGCAAGTTTTGCAGAGCCAGGGAAGTGTTACAAAAAGTCCTCCTGTGCTCTGTCAGGAAACATTCCCAGCTTCGTTATTTTTAGCAAGTAATGAGCTAAAGAGCCACAGAGTGGTCTTTGTTTATCTCACAAAACTTAACTGGGATTTTCTTAAAATAAAGTGTTTTTATAAAGGGACAATTCCTGTCTCTTCTTTCCTGAGGAGGGTGTTGCAATAGGTAATAATTTCGACAACTAACAAGGACAGGCACCCTTGCCAGTGTGACAGCATACTAGGAACCCCAAGAGTCTTGCTAGCACAAATACAAAGCCTAAGAGTTGTGTGACAGCATACTAGGAACCCCAAGAGTCTTGCTAGCACAAATACAAAGCCTAAGAGTTGTTTTTTTAGTTATATCCTCAGGGGCTCAATGATATACCTAACTTTCTTGAACAGGAATGAATCAGAGAGGAGTTTGGTTGGGTAGTCCCCACCCAGAAGAACAAGTAGAGGTTCTCCTTCCATTCCCATCTCGCATCCTCCCCCAGCAGTAACATGAAGGGAAAAAACATTCAGAGCTGAACTATTTTGGTTTCTGTTTGTCCAGAAACACTTCCCTACAGATGCAGTAGTCTGTGTCCTGCTGATCCAGTTATTCTTCTTTTCATTAGTAGTAGTCTGTGCCAGAGGTTCAGAGGACAGGCTTTCACTTTAATGCATGGGATGGGGTTAAAAGTTGATTTAAATACTAGAACTCATCTACATTTAGCTTTTGTAATCTATCTTCCAAAACCTGAATGAAATCCACTAAATCGGTCATTAAAAGTACTGCAAAGAATGCAGGCTCTGCCATGGAACTTGTGGCAAATACTTGACTGCAGATGCATATGTAACATCAATCCTGCTCTCTGGGAGCACCATCTTAAATTGCCAAATAATGTTCCCTAATGATTTCACCTTAGTAGGTGTACAAAGTAGGCTTTCACAACAATACAGTGGAGATTGTACCAGTAACTGTGAATAGCACTCATGTTTCCTGGTGATTTTTTCCCCTTGTAATTTTGTTATTGTTTTGTTTTCTTTATAGATAATGTGTCTGAAATTTAAAAAATGGCTTGGTGTACTTTCTGTGGAATCATTTGTAAATATAACAGTATTTATTTTCACCTTTTAGCTCTCGAGCGCATTCTCCAATGATAGCTGTAGGAAGTGATGACAACAGTCCAAATATATTGGCTAAGGTTCAAATTTATGAATATAATGAAAATACCAGGTATGCTAAATGACAATATATAAGATTTGTGGAATCTTAAAGTACTTTGTAATACATGGCCTTTTCTTCCTGTCATTAGATGTAGAGAGGAGTAGTAAATAACAATACTGTAATTCTGTCTCTGAGCCACTTGATGGGAAGGGAGAGGGAGATGTCAGAATGGTAACTCATGTTAACAGATGCGATATTGATAATTTTGTTCTATCTCAGTGCAGAAATGCCGATGTTCTTACCAGCATTTTAAAGGGAGAATTGTTGTTTCTGCTTCTACTAATTTATATGCTTAATTTTGCACAAGGAATTAATAGGTCAAAGTTGAAATTTGAATTGTGTTGCCCTGGAATTGTTTTGCTCAAGGCAACCTTAAAATGCTTTTAAAAGCATGTTTATAATGACAGAAAGTCCTGTGAATTACTAGTGTTCTGTGAAAGCTCAGTTTGTACAGTTAAGAATTCAGAACCAGAAAAGGCCAGGACGTGTACATACAACCAGTTTCAATTAAATGATGACAGAGAACTTGTGTTTCATTCAGGGTGATTGGTGTGGGAAAGGAGCCAAGGTGTTTTGTGGATTAATGCCTGGCTTCAGATGATGTTCTCTGCGCATTAACAATAAATAAAAGTTGTTGTAACTTACCTGATGGTAAATAAGAAAATGGAATACTTGTTTATCGTACAGGGGAGGAGGCAGATAGCGGTCTGCTTACAAGCACAGAAAGTTTAGTAAGTTACTGAGATACAAATTCCTTTTAGATTTCTGAATGGAAGAATCTTTTTATTTCCCTTTTCCAACTGTAGACAAAAATGTTCTTTGTACTGGAATCCTTGCTTTGTTGTATGATTTAGCATACTGCCCTTAGTCGTCACTGTATCTGATGTATTCCATTTCTGAAGAAATCAGCTTGTCATTATTACTTATTGAATCTATGTTAAAAAAAACACCAAACTTTTGCAAGTCACATCATGTATACTAACCCTTTTTTCCATGGTCCACTATGTCTGGTTAAGTAATTTGCATTACTGGCAATTTTGACGGCATTAAAGGTTAATTTCTTATGCTGTACAGGAAATACGCAAAAGCAGAAGCTCTGATGACAGTCACAGATCCTGTACATGACATTGCATTTGCTCCAAATCTGGGAAGATCCTTCCACATCTTAGCTGTAGCAACCAAAGATGTACGAATTTTCACACTGAAACCTCTAAGGTGAGCTTAAAAGGAAGATAGTTTGGTATGATGTGGTGCATACTGAATAGTCTTATTTTAATAGTATCTATGAAGCAAAAGTAGTAACTTAATGTATGTGGGATTGTTTTTAGCAGCCTGATTTTTTAAGATTACAAGATTGTGAGCATGTCTATAATTTTGTCTGAATACCTGTTAATACTCCTAATCTAGTAACAATTGTTATATAAACTCACTGAAAGATGTAGTCCTTTTTTTTTTTTTCTTTTTTTTTGTCAGCATGTTCAAGCCCAGACCTTTGAACAGTTGTGTGCGGAACTGTCACTTTTCTCTTAAACAGGAAAGAATTGACTTCATCTGGAGGATTAACAAAATTTGAAATTCATATTGTGGCACAGTTTGATAATCACAACTCCCAGGTGTGGCGAGTGAGCTGGAATATTACAGGCACAGTGCTGGCCTCCTCTGGTGATGATGGCTGCGTTAGGCTCTGGAAGGGTAAGGTCACCCACCTGAAATACATTAGCTTTGTAGTATGCTGAATATAGTTCAGAAATTTTACTCAAAAATAATTTTGGAGTAAAAGTTTGGTTTAGATTTGTGAATGATAGATTCTTATATTTCAGAAAAATATTTACATTTCAGGAAAAGGAAATAACTTTCTGTGCTGGAACACTTGCATGATTTAGGCTGCTGTGAATAGTTGTTACTATACCCTCAAATCGTTTGACCAGACTACAGCTATGTAAAGTTGTCATTTTAAAAATTAACGTATGTACTGCATTACTCTTTTGCCTGCTGCCAAAACTAGAAGATCTCCATTCAGCCACAATGTTCAGGCAAACTGGCTTTTTTCCTGTTCAAATTTTCAAAAGCAACAACAGCAAAATAAAACCTGTGGCAGTTTCCTCATCCATTCTCATTTGTTTCTCAGTATTTTAATAAAGGAAACTCACTCTTGCTACTGAACAAAACTGAATTTTAAATTGTGGATAAGCAGAGAATATAGAGAGCTAAAGGACCAGATCCTCAGCTGTTTGGAATTTATATATTGGTATTGAAGTTTAATTCTGATTCACACTAGGTGTGTAGCAGCTGAAACATCATAGTTGTATCACAAGCTGAGCTTCAGAAGAGAAACTAACAGTTTTTATGTATCTATATTTGCAGCTAATTACATGGACAACTGGAAGTGTACTGGTATACTGAAAGGTAATGGGAGTCCAGTGAATGGTAGTTCTCAGCAGGGAATTTTTAATGCCTCTTTAGGTTCAGCTAATACAAGTCTACAGAATTCACTAAATGGATCATCTGCCAGCAGGTAGGTTAACTAGTAGAGAGACTGAATTTCAGTAAATAGTCTCTTCTCCGAATTCTCTTAATTTCACTTAGTTTTCATGTTTGGGTTGGTTTTTTTTAATGCAATTTAATTTATTATATGAATACTTCTACAAGCTATTCTAGTTTTGCCCTGTGATGGTGTCTGTTATGCCAGTGTTAAGAGGAAAACAAACAAAACTATAAGCCATGCTGAAGCATTCTATATAAATAGCAATGTAAACAACTATTTTCACTTTTAGTCCTTTCACATTTTTAAAAATCGCTTTTCTGAAATAGTTTCAATGAAGGAGAAACTTCATCATACTGCAGTGTAACTGCCCTTTTGTTTTACATGTTTAAAAGCGAAGCAAGTATCAGCAACAAATTCTGGTTTTCACTGGGATAATATAGCAGAAAGGAAGGAAGAAAAGATATTCATAATGTATGGTTTCAACAATCATATACTAGTGTTAGTTTACTTGCATTTTTGCAGTTGTAACATTAATTGAATAAAAGTTTAGTTTATTTAAATCTTCCTCATATGGCATTCTTACTGCAGATTAATTTGCTTTCTCTGTTACGTTTTTATTCTGGAATAATTGCTGTTTAGTCGGTAAATTTAACTGCCTCTTCTGAAAACCATTTTAATTTGTGCATGCTGAAATCTAGAAATATATGGAGCCCTGCATTTGTGTGGTGGAGCGTATACAATCAACTTTACAGGATGTGTCCTATGTAAGGACTAGTGTGGCCGAATTCTATAGCAGCAGCTTCCAAGTTTTGTGGCCACCTTTATTTTTTGTTTCAAATGCCTTGGGATAGCCTCCATTTCCATCCATGTGCAGTTACTAATACAGCTTTTTTCATCTGTAAAGTACTATGCCAGTCTTTGGGAGAGTAGCCTTCGCCCGATCTTCAGCAGTCAACCCTGAATGGCAGTTCTGGCTTCCAGACCCCTAGCTGCCTTGAACAGGGAAGGGCTTTCATGTTTTCCTCACAAGATAAATGGGAGAGCGAGAGGTGATAATGGGCCAAGTCTCCAGCGAGAAAGGAGACCAAAATTACATTGGTCATCTGGTTCTAGGTGCTACTTACAGAGTAGCAAAAAAATAACTGAAATGCAGTCCTGACTTGGAAAAATGATATCCAAAGCTATACAACTGTATTTGCTTGGGCTCCTATAGGGAGATATAGGCTATTTTATACCACGTTAGCACAGGGTGTGGTTTTATAATCTCCTTATCTAAGACGGTGCTGCTGCCAGCAAGACTACCCTACCCTATTGGGTGTTCTTCTTTCCATGAAGTCCGTAGTAAGCCATTGTGAAACTTCTAGCATTACTTTAGACTCCCTCCATTGCTCTGTATTTTGAAAGTTGGTGGGGTTTTTTGTTCTTGGGGTTTTTTTTTTTTTGTTTGTTTGGTTGGTTTTTTTTAATTGGCTCCAATTTGGAATTAATGTTTTGTTACAGAATTAAGTCAGTGGCTGTGGAATTTCAAAGTATATGGTGTTTTGTCCTAGGATTCAGCCTTCCCATAAAAAAGATGCACTTCACATGTTTTCTTTTGCAATTGCATTGGCTTGAATTGCATAAGCACAGTTGCTAACTTTTGTTTAGTGTATTAACACTTAAAATAAAGATTTGTGTACTGACATTTGACTAAATTGGTATGCTACACAGAATTTATTTTGTCTGTGACTGTAGATGCTATCTTTCAGTGTCTATACGTTTAAACACTTAAAACTGCTAAAGCATAGGCAGACCTGAAAAACTTTGTTAAAGTACCATCACCAAACAGGACTTGTAATCAAAATAGTTTCAGAACAGATGATGTAGATTGTTGGAAAATAGGTCAGTAGGGCTATATTGTTATGTTGATGTAATTGTGTATGATACAATTTCCATTCTCCATTTGTATTATGTCCTTTTTAACAGAAAGCAGAGCTGATACCAAGCTAACTGGAGTAACTTTGGTGTTTTGCTGCTTGTTGCATGCACACAGGAATGGAAAACGAACTCCTTTTTCCCCTCCCCAACGCCGTTTGACCTCTCCCAAGACACCAGCAGCCTGCTAACTACTAAATGCTATTCAAAAATCTTTTTAAAACACGCTGTGTATGTGTTTTGTACTAGCCTGCGCAGTTTGATACTGTTGGAACTCCTGATAGAAAAATACTTGGAGAGGCTTCTTGTTTGGAAAAAACCACAAACAACCACTCAAACCCCAAAACTTCCATCAGACCATTTTTTTTTTTTGAAAGCTTGTCAAATTAAAAGACTAGTTCATGACTAAAAATGAGAATTTTTTGTCCTTGATTGGGATGGGAGGACGGAAGTGACCATTAAAATAATTTTCATTAAAATTGTTTTGATAACTAATTTGTTTTGCATTTCATAGTGTTCAGCATTTGATTAAGATTCCTAAACATCACAAGTTTGTAACTGCTTTGTAATATATGAAACGGTTAGTTTTAAAGGGGTAAGAAAACTGTGTTTTGACAATTGTACAGATGGTAGCTTTTAATAGTTTGGTATTGCTTCATTTATACCTTAGTATGACTTCAAATAAATGTTTTGTCAGTACTACCGTACCGTCTTCATCCTAAGAGAAGTACTTTTTCTGTTATGTACTTGTACATACCTATGGTAATTCCATGGAGTATCTAAAATTCTCTAAGCATAGTATTCTAAAAAATGCAAACACTTGAGCCATACAAAGATTGAAGCCAAAATGCAGCTTGTTGTGAATTGTCCCATAATTTCACTAACCGTATAGCTGTTCCTTTATGTAAGTCCACAGAACTGTAAACAAGACAGAAAACATCTGTAGGTATCTAATGTAGTTATACTAAAATGCACAAGTATTACGGGTAAGTTCTAATAAAAAAAGCAGAAAAATGACATGAAATTGCATAATTCTGAGTCTTGCATTCACCAGGAATCTTAAATTTACTCTGAGGATTTTGCAGAAATATGTAAATACATACAAAGACTGTATTTCACTGAAAGTAGTTATTTTCTGTCAATGTATATTATTAAATTCAAAGTATTGTAAAAACAATGATGTTTTTACGTCTATTCTAGAAGTCCTGTTAAATTAATCTGAATTAGATGCATATGCAGAAAATGTACTTAGATAATATTTAATGTATATTTTGTGTTGCAAATGAAGCGTTACTAAAAGCTCTGTTAACAAATCACAGGAATTCTGGGAGAATGAAAGCCTGTTAATAGCTGTGCTACCACATCCTTTTGATTTCCAAAGCAATCTGTTCTTTTGTTAAAATGTATACTAGGATTATTATTACTATGGTATTATTTTCTATGAATTCCAGTGGAAAAGACTGTATTATTTTCCTTTAAAGAACAGTTTCCAGATTTGTCTTGTTTTGAATTACAAGCCCTGATTTCTGCTATTATGTTCTATTAGTTTTGGCATGGATATACTAAAGCCTTTTTTTTTTCCAGCATGTCTTTCTCCCCTTTGGTTCTCCTTGTATTTACTACCTTTCTCTTTTTCTTGTTTTGTTTTGTTTTTTTGTTTTGGTTTTTGTTTTGTGTTTTTTTGTTTTGGTTTGATTTTTTGTTTTGTTTTGTTTTGGTGTTTTGTTCTTTTCTTAATTGTTTCAGGTATTTCTTTCCCCCTCTGGATTCCCCACGGGCTGGATCAAGATGGTCCAGTCACGCCCAGCTCCTTCCTCCTCCTCCTCTGATAGAGCACTCTTGCGATGCTGACACTGCCAACCTCCAGTATCCTCACCCTCGCAGACGATGTGTATCTCGGCCTCTTAATCTATTACCTGAGAATGAAGGGGTTTAACATGTTACTTTAAATAAACTCTGAAGGGCCTTATTCTGGTGTTTGTGAATGCTTCCATCTCTGGCTGCCTTTGTATTTCTTCTCTCAAACAGAAGATTTTAAAAAAATTGGGAACTTCATGCATGTTTTGCAAAACAAACAATGACATTTGGAACATGTTATTTATGTTTGTGTATCAAAGGAACATTTTAATCTGTACTATTTATACTACCACAACACATACAAACAATATTAACCACGAGCTATTTATGGAGTAGCTGACTTAAATGTGCCTGTCCTTTTTTTCTTTTATTTTTTGAATAAGTTTAGTATGGTCATGAATTTTTTTTTTCTTTTTGTATATTGCACTGACAAATGTGAAATATATTCTCAGAATTAAACATGCCTTCAAGAAGTTATCGAGTAACTAAAGGATGATATTAGATCAACTCATAAAAGAAACAAAACCATTCCTGTGTATACTGCAGCAAAATAGTTTGGAGTGTTTGGTTACTTAAGAATTTTCCATCTTGCTGTATAAATATTTAAATTTTATAATTGTGGTTGACTAATAAACTTATTCTAAAAGGTCTGTATTAGTATGCTTTTTCTTGTAATAGGCTTGAGTTTTTTTAACAGGCTCCTGGTCAAGGAGTTTTTTTGATTGAGGTGTCTATTGTCATCGCTTTGCTTTTGTGAAGTTGTGTTCTGGATGTGCAGTTGCGTATTAAATTTTTCTGCCACAGAGTGTGCTCTGACTTTTCTCATGGGTATGTTGAAGGTCTGCAAAGACTACTAGAATTGGATTTCAAATTATGTCATAATTCTTTTTCAATGATTGAATAATTCACTTAGGACATTTTGAAGAAATTGTACTGACTTCAAAGCCTCCTTTTTTGATGTGTCAGCACAGGAACATTGTTGCTGTGGATCAGCATGCTTGGGCTGGTGCGAGACAGGTGAGAGGATAAAACTGGACAATGACTACATGGTATTGCTAGGGAGTAGCATTACTGTATAGGATGTAATTGCCTGAGCTCGTTCTGCAGATCTTGGGGGGGAGAGGTGGGGGGATAAAGGTGAGCTCTGTGCAGCAGAAATGCAAAGTGTGATAGTGTATTTCAGTGTCCTTCAAAAGGGGCTTCTGCTACTTCCTGGACTAGACCACTAATACATGATGGAGAGGGCAACCTGCAGTCTTCCAAAACAATAGCAAGTTCCTGTGAATTTTACTTGTATTCTGAAAACTTTATTTGCTCAGATACTATATTTTTCCTCATAGACCACATTTGTTTCTTGATTTGTCTCTGAGGAATCTAGTTTTAATTTACTAAAAAAACATGAGAGGTAACAACGGTGCTACAGAGTGCTTGCTGATCATGCGTGGAGGTCGGCTGCTGACGTTTTTCAGCTGGCAGGAACAGAACTGTGGGAAAAAAATTTTAGTAAAAGCAGGTAATTAGACTTTTTTACCAAAATGTAAACTTTTATAAAACCATGCCATCCTTCGTATGGTAAACAACAGGCAGGGAAGTTGGAACTAAATGATCTTTAAGGTCCCTTCCAACCCAAACCATTCTGTGATTCTACGATTGGAAAATAAGGTTTAAGTCGGGGTAGAAAGTAACACTATTCCTCTGGGAGAATGAGTTGTTTAAAAAATAAATAAATAATCAAAACTACTATACTGGGATTTATTCCTAAACCAGAGCAAACTGTTTCTGGGTATGCAAGCAGCAGAATATACTTCTGAAGGTTTAAGCCACTTTCAGAATTTCTGTCTTAACCCTTTAAAAGGTCACTCCCTTCAATACAGCAATTGATCTTTTTCTTACTGCACTTCTACTTATACTAGGAAAAAAAAATAAGGCTCCTTCATAAGCAGCCATCAAGAAAAGCAAGGTGGCAGTGTCTAGATATGCTGCTGTTTCCCAATGCTAAAAGTTTGTGCTGTGAGACCCTACAGTGTCTGTCAGGTATACCTCAATTACTACAGCGTAACAAAAAATAGTGTAAAATATATTCAAAGATAATTCTTTACATTCTTAACTATCTTTGATAAGCTAGATCTAAGGGAAA